ACGATCATAGGTGTCTTCGAAGCATTGCTCGTATATCGTGGGACACCCGAGTGAGAAACGCTGTTATTAGGAATCGGGTGCTAGGTAAGAATGGCAGATCAATAGATGAAGTATTGAAACTTCACCAGTTGAGGTGGTTGGGACATGTGTTGCGTATGCCCAACCACCGGCTGCCTCGTCGAGCCTTGTTTTGTAGTGTAGGAATAGGTTGGAAGAAAGTTAGAGGCGGCCAAACCAAAACATGGCAGAAATCCATGAAGTCATTGACTAGTGGACTGAGGCCATGTTGGTAATTGTCGACTACCTGGTTGGGGTCCGCGAGATGATAATAATCGATGGTTAGAGACCTTGAGTGAAATGGCTCAAAATCGTTCGCAATGGCACCGGTGCATTTATTCTTTGTGTTCTCTCAAATCCTAATCTTCTGGATTCTTCAACCCCTCTAGTTTCGACTCTCTAAACTTTTCTCATTGAACCATACTTCTTGAATAATATCTTCTAATCCTAACCTCTCCGATTACTTCTAATTCCCTTACTACCTCTTCTACTATTGGATTTGAATTGACGATTACTTCTCTGTGCTGATGTGGTATGGCAACATGAACTGATGTACTTATGTACAAAGTTCTACGTTGCATCTGACTGACTGACTGAATTCAAAAAAAATTAATCCACTGTTGACTTACATGTTAGTACTATTTTCATGTACAACTGATAAAGAATTTAGAAAGTATTATTATGAATGTAAATTAATTCGATCGATATTTTTCAGATTAATTATGCCATAGAAAAAGGTGAAATCCCAATCCAAGAACAAAAAAAGAAATACTCATTTCAAATTTATTTAAAGTGTATAAAACGATAATCAGAGTGAATTTTATTTACGTTTTTTATCCAATAATGCGAAATATGATGCATACAATTGGTTTATTTCATTGTAGAAATATTTAAATCAAAAAATTGCCAACTAGCGGATAGTCGGCCATTGTAAGTTTAATGAATTAAAACAATGATCAATATGTCATGTCATATCATGTGTTTTTTTGTAGAAATAATAAATATTCTATAATTATTTGAAATTTTGATTTGTTTTTGAATAGAAATCATTCATTCATTTTACTTTATGGTAGAACAGTCCCTAAATGCTCTGAGAGTGGGGACAGTCTGCTCCCTGTCTCTCTCTCTCTCTCTTTCTCCTAAAATGCTCTTACATGGTTACTTGCATATACCCACTAACAGGGAAGTTCTACTCTCTGACGTCGTTGTTAGTCTTTTGTTTACGAAGTGCATAAGAAGAGAAGTTAATATTAAATCGATTTGGTGGATAAAGAGGATCATCCTAGGAGAGCTGGTAAAACTTCACCGAAAACTAATGGTGTACATGAACTTCAGGATACTGAAGGGATAAATGACAAATGGATATATTCTTAGTCACCGCTTACCAGGAGATTTTACATCTCTCAACATGGCTCCTCTATCTCAAGGAAAAGATCCATAGGTTGAAGTCTTAGGGAGGAATCTTCTGCAAAGATCACCTGTTTCGGTTTAGGCAATATGTCAGTATCTTAGCCCGCACATAAAATCAACCATGTATATGGTTCATTTATATATAGTTGGTGCCTCTCTTGGGACCAATATTTATGTGTTGAAATAAATAAAACAGATGAAAAAGACAATTTCAAAACAACATTAAAATGTCAACTTACCAAAGCCTGTACAAAATATTTATTTATAAACATTACGTAATGTTAGAGTATAAAATAGATTTATGCAGATAACAAAAATGAAATCTTCACATCAATCATTAGTTATAAAAAGTTTGACCTTGTGAATCATTGAATATTGAGTTTTACTAAACAATTTAAAGCCATTAAGTTCCCTTTTCTATTCAAAAGTATGAACCATTAAAAATTACTTCCATTGAGAACTGGCTTTCAGTGTTTTCTTTTTTTTTCACATGATATTTGTCAATGTGACAAACTAACTTTAAAGTTTAGATATGAAAGAAAGAAACCCAAGAACACCTAACTTGTTTTTATGTTTCAGTCATAAAAAACTTGAGCAGTAAATGAATTTTAACAGTCAGTAGTATGTCAACTATGGCAATAAATTATAATCTTCCTTTCATATAAAATAAATATGAACTATTCTTGATTGTTGGATCCATAAAGTGAGCTGAACTAAATTGATGTTCTCATTGGAAATTGGAATCTTGTAGTTGTTGCTGATTTATCACAAATGAGCATTAATGACTGATATGAAAGTATGCCAACTTTCTAAGTGAAATTTGTACTGAAATAATGATGTTAAATGTTATCAATAGTTTTTGGTTTCTAACTTCATGATAACAGTAACATGAGTGAATATTGAATATATGACGAATAAACCAGTTGATCGGTAGCGTTACTTAATTTATGGTGATATTTGTCTAATATAGCGTGACATATAGTCATATATGAACACCGTGAAGGATATTTTGACACTAATTACCAGATACTGATTAGCTCAGATCTTTCAATCGTACAAAAATGTTTGAATTTTTATCTTAAACAAAAGATATTGATCATAATTTCGGTAACTGTTTCATTGAAACTAATGAAATTGAACATTTAACTGAAAGAATTTTAATTGGTCAGCCACTCATATTATTTTACAAACCTAAAGTAACAGGCTAAAAATGTCAACACTTATAATAGAGAAATAAAGTTTATCTTTAAGGTAGCATTTACTGGTAAATTTTTGTATAGAACAGACAGACTATGTCTTGTATCGAAATTCCATCCTAGCACGGATTCTTTAAACAGACCTTCTCACATCTAAGAGTTGACATTCATTCCAGTACCTTTCGCTGTTTTAAATTTCAATTAGTGAGTCCACTAAACCACTAAAAGCAAAAGTTATTGATGTCATTGAGATATTTTTAATGGTTTCGAATTATCCAGCAGTTGATACCTTGATCGAATGTTGATCCAGATCAGATTATTTCAAAACAAAAGATACTAAGTTTCAAGTCATAGATTCAAATAACTCCACATTATTTTTTTTTCAAATTCAATCAAATCAAATTTCATTGAAATGTTGATGTTTAAAACACAAAGCTCAAGCAAGATCACTTTGATTGAAAACATTCCCGAGTTTTGTTAAAAAAAACACCATAAAAATTAATAAACACTTCATATTCTCTAATCAATCAAAATTCACTAACCTGTAATTAATTGAATACTCATAATAAGCAATACAGTTGCACCAATAACACTAATTGATAATGTCTTCATGTTCTTTCTAAATCAAATTTCTATTTTTACGGACTAGTTTTTTTTTCTTTACTGGTAATCAACAACATATTTATACATATTCCTTAAGTAAATATCAAATATTTATTCATGGAATCATGTTGATTTAATAAATGTTTTTGTTTCTTTTTTAAAAATTCAAATTTACTCAAATTTCAATCAGATTTATTATTGACGTTTGAACAACCAACAACAACAACAGCAAAAAACATATTTATCATACGATTTTTATGTTGTTCTTCTTGAATTAAATGTATCAAATATTCAATATGAATGTTAAAAACAACAACAACGACTGCATCGATAAAAGATGTATAGGAGTTTTTACAGAATAAATAACTGTAGCACACAGTTTGTTGATACATTCAAACGGAAGACTATTTCATTATGGGGTTGTGAAGATTATTAAGTTACACACTTTTGAAACCATGAATCGATCAATGTTAGACCACCATTAGAAACCTGGAAGCACTGAAAGACGGCCGTTTCATCTTGGTATGGGACTTATCAGCAGTGCGCATCCACGATTCTTGCACCCCGCGGGATTCGAACCCGGGACCTTCGGTCTTGTGCGCGAATGCCTAACCTCTAGACTAGTGAGCCGGTATCTAACGGCGTTAATGTCTAACTTGATCAATTCACGGAGTTGCGCAACCTCATACACAGTCTTCGATAGTTACTGTCTACAACCGAACAGGTTGAACTTCACTGGTCACGACTTCCCACTAGAACTTGGAGAAGATTCTTCACGATGCTAATCACTAGTGAGCACAGATAATTGTATTGTTACAACCTTTGAAACTGTCTACTCACTAAGACACACAGGAGGGAATTTGTCTTGAACTATTTCAAGATCTTGTTGTGACAGACTGACAATCTAGTTAACCTTGAGACTAGTGATGTGTAAGTCCGACTGTGACTAAACTGCCTTGGAGGCAGAGGGAAGAAAACTATTCTATCACCGGAGTGAGAGAACAATACTCTGTTTACTACCGATTTGATAACGGATCACAATAAACAAAGAACTACATAAATACGATACTGTCCAAACTATGGCCTTAGGCTTAGAGAAACATAATACCGCCGGTTATGTTTACGTTACAATAATTTTTCAATAAAACACAGTATGTTACTGAATCTGACAATAGACTAAAGCTTATGCTTTTTAATATATAAGAACCAATAGAAATGAATACTATTCTTTTAAAAACTGCCAATTTAGTGAAAAATTGTTCACAAAATGAACTTCCATTGTTTGTCACTGTCTTTTTTTATTACTTTGTGAATATCATTTTTAGAATAAATTGATGATTCAATTATCCAGTTTATTAGTCATGAGACTTGATCACATTTCGTAAACAATTTCAAAACATTCACCAGTTACAAATATCTACTTAATGTAATAACAATATAATCGAGTTATCGAAATCAGTATCAACGTTTGACTTGACACTCTGAATAATAAAATATTTTATAATTTTATGGTAAAATTCTAATGAATAAAAATTTCTAATTCTGGCGTATTTTATGACTTAATGTAAGTTAATTTTTCAGAGTAAATAAATAAATATATATATATGTATAACCGAAACAAATGAACACAAGTGTAAATAGTAGAAAGTAAACAAAGCAGAAATCACTTTTTAGTACAATCAAAATCATTTTAAGGTTGAACTTATCGATGGTATGTTATTTTTTGGTTTTAGGTGATTCTGTTTGTGTGTATGAAGGTGGGTATGAAAAATATGTAATTTGTGTGTTTGTAGGAGTGAAGTTTAACAATGGCAATAGTGAAAAGTTTGCCTGTGTGTAGAAAATCAATAGAGTCAAATGTAGTTGCTTTGGATAAACAAAACAGTCCAAGTTAGATGAATAGTTAGGGCTTCTTTCCTATCGAGGTTAGAAGGTTGTTTCAGATACTCGCCTATTTTCATAGCTAGAAAAACCTTTCTTAATCAGTTTGTTATTTGTAGTATCGACTTGGTAATTTCGAAAATGATATGTACTGTTATTTCCTAGTTAACCAGTAAATTTTTCAGCTTTACATGATTATTAGAAGGCTCGTTTGTATAGTTTAAGTTTTATTTGACACAAGTTGAGATTTCTTGATCAGACTCTCCAATGTAGAATGCATCACAATTGTAGACACTGTTTTATGTGAACCAAGAAGGGATCTTGTCTTTAATTCTGAAGAGTATCGTAAACTTCGGGTTGTTTTGTTACTGACTTGCTTATTTACTCCTGTTACCCGCTATGGGGAACAAGCCACCAACCAGCATTCTCCAACGAACTCTGCCCAGTCCTACCCAATCGCTACTCGTTCTTTTCATGTCTGTTTCCAATTCTCGGTGATACACATGTGTAGTATCATTTGTGGGGTTGTTTTATAGAAAGCTTTAGTTCTAAATGTCCTCAAGATTTATCGTAATTCGTCTGTCCTATCTTGGTGGTAAGATAAAACCACAGTACCAATTCAAGGACTTTCATTAGAATCTATCTATAAACAAATAGTTTCGTTTTGATAATTTTTAATAATATTCTTAGGAAAATTATTAAGTTGCATGATGTTAATTATAAAAACCTTTTCTTTTAGTTGATCTTTTAATGAAGTAATGACCTTTGGGTAGTTTAGTTGTAAAGTGTTTGTATTTTGTCTCTTTGATGTGAGATGTTTTCTGACATAATGTATGCAATCGATTATCTGTAAGCTTTTCGAGTGTCAGTTCAAGAATTGATACCATTTATAAAGTACTCAGAAGTTTTCCATGCAAATTCAAATTCATTCCTATTAGTATAGTAAGGAGATGCTTCAGTGGTTTTCGAGTCGAGATTGACTATGATTACCATTAAATACTAATTACGAACCCGTCACTGAGAAGATAAATAAATACAGGGTAAAGAATATATTTTCTGGCGATTTCATGGTATCGAAAGGATACCAAAACCTAACCAGAAAAGTGGGGCGAAATTACAAAGGCAGTGGAGCGAAGAATGACGGCAACACAACAATCACTGGTACAATTGGTTATGGTAATGAATGGTTCTATTAAGCCGATCGCGTTCTCCTCATAAAAGTGGATTTAATACAGCAGCCCCCCGCTAGAATGGTTTACATTTTCGATACGTAGCGGTTTTGTTTGGGGGGGACTGATCGGCAAAACGTGTGATTGTAGGTCGGAAGAGTTGATGAATGGGAAGCAATCCATGATGCTCGAGTTGTCAGCGAAGGTCTTTCAAGGAGAATGGTACCAGCAGTAACGTGATATGTTTGTTGCTCGAGTTAGCGTACCACACCAACGTGGCTCTTATCCATAATCTGAAGATTGCGTTCGTAACGGTCCAGACCAAAAAATTCTGCAGAAGTAGGGCGGAAACAGATTGAGCGAAAGAACCAGAAAAGACCATGACGACCAAGTTCGAAACCTTACGTATGCCAGACATATTCTGAACCAAATCACCGACTGAGTGTATTGACAAGAGCGTGCTAGATCAGGCCAGCTTTCGCCAAGATTGACTGAAGCCGAAGGTACCAACAGGGCGATGGTCGGAAGTGTTGGCTCAGGATAAAGGAATCAAAGAATAAGAGAATGGTGTAGCAAGCATGTAGTAAGGCGTACCGAATCTACTCGTATGAAAACATGTGGACAAGTAAATAACTCTCGACGGAGAGCGACCTGTAGATGCTATTTTTGAGTTGACACCGGAGGCAGTGTTCGCACCTACAATCTACTCGGTTTATTTACTTTGGGTAATTTATCAAATATAACATGAAATAAATAAACTTGCGAAAAAACATTAGTGATTCGGTACACATTTGTTGGAGCGTTAAAACGCTTGGATTTGATATTCGACGAAGTATCGATTAACACAGCCTACGTGAATCGAATAGCAAATCATAGAGCTGTAGGGTATCGATACCGAGTACGTCTATGGGAACATCAGCAAGGATGGACGTCCACAGATACTGTCGTCGACTATTCAGGTTGATAGTTAGCTGTCGTGTACCGTAGGTAGGAATGGTAGAATCATTCGTAGCGCGTGGTCGAAGCATTGCAGCTTATGAGTCGCAGCTTCTAAATGATACGACAGAAACTTAGGCGTCCATGGCCATCAAGTACCTAGCGTTAGTGCAAAAATCGTGAACATAAAATAAACGAACAGCCTGAAGTGACGGGGAGGAGACCGGTGGAAACGCAATGACCAGCACCTGTGAGTCTATTATTATATCTATCGACCATTTCGAAACGTTGTTGCAAGAATGATATATATTAAAGGACATCAGTAGTAGTAATGCAACATCATAAAGATGGTGATATGTGAGTAAAAGGCTCACCTTCATTGACTTCTTTGAATGAAACGTGAGCTCAAGCGTGCAGATGAGTCAGTGCAATCGAGAGCCTCATTAAGAAGTTGTAGAAACTCATGAAACCCAGTTTCCATGTGCATTTTTGAGGGAAGCCTAACCATATCAGTGCATACTTAGTGATAAAGAAGTTTCCTCGAGTTTTGGATTTATACTTATATATATATATATATATATACTTCTTTATACTTTTGACCGTAGATAATTTATCTTGAAGGTTATTTATAAATGTGCCTTGGATTAGGACTACTTTACAAGAGGAGCATATGAGCTTGTGCACAAGCTTAAAGAAAAGGATTAGAATGGAATTGAGCCTTCTATTACACAGCGTATCAAGTCCAAGTTCATGATATCGAATTGGATAGTCAGTGAGTGAGTTCTGATTTAGTGCTTTTCGAGTAAAATTGCTTTGTATTTCTTCCAGCTTCAATAGATCAGCTAGACGTAAGTTGGAAAATAAGAATGAGCAGTAATCAGCAATAGGTCTAACGCATGTTTTGTTGAGAATGTTTCTGGATTCTCCGTGAAGGAAGTTACGAAAGATTAAACCAAGCATTCTTCTCATTCGGGAAACTTTATTGGAAATATATTTAGAGAAATTTAGTCGGTGTAAGTAGTGCACTCCTAGATCAGTTACTGATGTGCATTAAGGCAGTACATCCCTGCTGAGAGTTTGATGAATTTTGGCAGACTTGTCTCCAAAACACATTCAACCACATTTCTCAGTACTGAGTTCTAGGTCCCATCGCTTACATCAGTCTTCTACATTATTGAGTACATGCGGGATTTTGTGCATCAAATTCCTGTTAGATGTATTGATTTCATAGATTGGTTTTAGGTCATCGGAATAGAGGTAGGTTTTTCCAGTGTTGAAACTACTGCATATGCTGTTGATGTAGATTATGTAAAGAAGTGGACCCAGAACGTCGAATTGGACATCACTACCGGCAACTGATAGAACTGTGGATGTGGTAGAAATAATTTTAGTAATTTGAATTCTAGTCATGAGAAAACACCTATTCCAATGCAATGGGTGACCAGAAATGATGACGGACTGAGGTCTGTTGATTAGAAGATTATGAGGCAACTTGACAAAAGCGTCCAAGAAATCAAAACACAACATGATCATAAAACTTAGACGCCGGCGGTCATGTTGCCCGACTTAAATAAACATAATCCCAGTCCTACAGTAACCAAGTCGCAACAAGCAGTCTTCTCTACTTTAGCTAGGTACGTACACTTGTAATCCAGGTCCATGAAACAGGATTTCAGCTACACTATTTGTGTGAGGACTAACGATACTATGCAGTTGAAGCGAAGTATAAACTCGAGACCCACTGATGTAGGATCGAACGACTCAACTACACTTGCCTAGTTCCAAACTGCAGTGTTCTTAATTAGTCACTTTCAACCAACATGTGCCTTGATATCTTCCGAAAAGCCATTCAAAACTAGCATTTCAGGTAGACACACCTTGATATAAACAATCATGCCCCGCAGAAGTAAAGGTGCAGTGTACTCCCTAAAAACCATGGCGGTTACTCCCAACAACTGGACGGACCGTCACAGCTCAGCTCGAACAGACCCTCAAGTATCTAACAGTTTCCTGGGGTCCTCGATACAAACAGCGACATCCCATCGCTAATAAGTGACTGGTGGATTATTGCGAAAGGCTTTGGAATTAAAGTGAGCGATAGCTCTTGGTGAGTTCTTGTCGCGTGATTAACCCTGAGGTACACAGATTTTAGTTGTCAAACAACTACTAGAATTCGCACGAGTTTCAGCTTTTTCGTGTCAGTTTACGCGGGATAACATGAACTAGCTTACCTTTGACCACCTGCCATGTCACTAGATCCGCGCTGGCTTCCACCATACCCAGACGCACCGTAGCCTCCAGAAGTCATGTTGCCCGACCCACCGTATCCAGGACCACTAAACCCGCCTTGTCCAGTTTGATCGATGCCTCCGTATGCTCCGTTATCGAATCCACCTGGACCATCGTATCCACCTTGACCACCGTAACCTCCGTCCACTGAACTACTATAACCGCCTGGTGGACCCATAGAAGTATTACGACCGGCTGGAGGAGGAACCGGTGCCGGTCCTGAGGAGCCCATCATCCCTCGTTGACCTTGCGCAAGAGGTGCATTTCCACCCATCATCCCACCGCCGGAGCGAGGCCCTCGACCACGGCCTCCGGGAATCGGTCCACCGCCCATAGGACCCATTCCTCCACCCATGGGGCCCATTCCACCACCCATTGGCCCCATGTCACCACCACCCACCCTATACGGACCACCCATGTTACAACCCATTGGCGGCATGCATCCAGGTCCACGGAGTGGCATCCCTTGAGCTAGTGCTGCTGCAGCCTCTCGGGACAACCAACCACCGAAGTTAAGAGCATCACCCTCACTGAAGTTGGCAGCGTCATAGTCTTCACGGCGACCACGAGGAGGAGCAGACTGAAATGTACAAAATACAACATTAGGCAGAAACACAGGTAACACAAGTACAAAATAGCTAGTATTACTAGACGCAAGGAATGCATCCACATCATAAGAAGTCAGTCAGTACGTCCAGAGATGAGATACAACATTCACGGCAATGCTGGCGACATAAAACGTTCGGTAATATTTCTAGGTTGGTACGTATGTAAATGTTTGTTGATGCCACGGCACCATAATGCCCGATCGTTTACCGATGGGATCACGGCGGTATTCTTTCACACCTGAGGGACAATCTTGAGACTTGGATTCGTGACTACCAATGAGTTTGTGGCAACAATCGGTAGAATAAAGAAAATGATTCGGTGAAACATCCGCACTTACCTCAACCGCCTCTATCACAGCTCTCAAGCATTGGACGACATTGTCTGGGTCAGCAACCATCTGTACTACTCGGTCAGTGGATAGTGGAGCCAACATCTGATACACCTTGATAACACGCATTTTGTACTTCTAAATTTTATGTTGGAGAAAACACTAGCAGACTTACATCACGGAGATCCTTAATACGTTCCCCACCTCGGCCGATGACGGAGCCAGCTTGGCTTTCGTGCACTAGGATTCTAAAGTCGATCATGTTTTCGTCTTCCTCGTCATCCCGTTCTGGATCTTCGTTTCGTCTTGGACGACGCCGAAACCCTTGGGCACCCATTATACGTTTCGGATCGGAGAGTTTTGCGTTCATTATATCCTATAAAGTCAGAGTAGTTAGTTCAACCTTACCTTTAGTTTTGGACAAACATCGCGCATTATGCTGCAGATGGCCTGCAGGTCACCCTCGATAGTCATTATCCTATTGGAAAAAAACAAGTTAGGGTGGGAAAGAAGGAAAATACAGAAGCTTGGATAATATAATGAAGCTTATGATACCCTTCCATATAGTGAAAGTCGTGGAGGGTTCGGAGAACTAAACAACCATCTAAGGGTTATCCCCAAAACTTGTCTAAACGTTTACATAATAGGTTTGTATCCATGGCTAAGTCACTGGAAGCCCCATTCACAACAGTAACTCGTCAGTCAGTCAGTTACGGCGTAGAACTTCGTGCGTACTTACATCAGTCCAGGTTGCCACATCACATTGGCACGGCGACACAATTGTCATATTGAATCCCGGTGGTAGAAGGCGTATAAGCTCCACTGCAAACGATCTTAAGCCATGTTGTTCAAGGTCTCCAGCCATCGGTTATCATCGTCTCACGGTCCCAAACTAGGTAGTCGACTTTTACCAACATGGTTCAGTCCAGTTATCAGTGAATTCATGAAGTTGTGCCATGTTTGGGCTGCCCCTGGTTTATTTTCAACCTATCCCCACATCACAAAGAATCGCTCGTCGAGTCAGTCATCGGTTGGGCATACGAAACACATGACTCACTCACCCCAACTGATGAATTTTCAATACATCATCTGATCTAACATCTCTACCTAGTACTTGTTTCATAACGACAGTAGCTAGTAGGTTAACTGACAGCCAAAATCATGAATTACTCGGCAAACGATCGCCAAAAGGGCTTTACAAACACAAAAATGAACCAAAAACATGAAAACAATAATTTAGGCAAACTAATTAATCGACCGAATACACATCAAGGTGACATTAAGTTTCTGGGTTACCCTACCGTTCAGGGCCTCTGCTGTCGGGAATATTCAGCTTGACGTTATACTGAGACAGTAAATGGGATAAAGCAGGGCCGTTTTCAGTGAGCCAGAGTCATCAGTTTGAGAATAAGGCAGGCATGTGGTACCAACCCAAACCATTGGGTTATCAGAGGAGATTGACCAGATTTAGCGAGTTAGTGTCCGGGTGGTGGAGGAACCGTAAAGAACATAAAACAAAGAATCGAGTCAGTCGGTGCCAAAACAGCGATTGAGCAAGTCACTGAATGAATTATGAAGTAACAAACCTGTGACCGTATTTTTTTGATATTTTCCCCACCCTTCCCAATCATTATCCCTGCAGCTCTCCCGGGAATAAGAAATCTGATAGAAACATTGGTTAGATCTACGGTAGAACGCTGAAATTTCGATGGAGGACCATCCTGGTTATTTCCTGAACTGTCCCGTTTCATGGCGGACAAAGTGAATGGCTACCCACCAACTATTAAACAAACAAACAAACTCATTTAAACACTAATCAATATAAAGTAGCCAAACTGCTCAAATGAAATGCTCTTTAGTAGTCAAATTAATTTCTGCCTCGTAGATTGAAGGATAAACTATTATTATCACACTGTAGCACAAAATGGCATTGGCCCATTTTCAATTCATGACAGTTTTTTACAGAAATCATGAGTATGCTTCCAAAACATAACGTGTCCTCGTTGACCTCGCACTGTTTAAAGGAAAAAACACAGTTTTCGACACCATATAGGGATATTTAATCATTCTCGAAGATATGAAAGTTTTCTCCATTCATTGATAGACTATCTGAATAACACTTAGGACAAACAGAGCCATTCAAAGTCTGTCTAGCTGTCTCAGTTAACTGCTCCCTTCCTAGTTGCTTCGGCAGCACATACACATTCACTCACAAACAAAAAACTCATGGAAAAGTAACTGGATCCACGCGAAGTTGCTTACTAGGATGGTCAAACGTAAAGTTGCAATTTTAAATGACTTTCACGCCCTATTCTTGTGTAGTATAGGTCCACTCAGTCTGAATATTATTATTTTCCTCCTTCACAAACCCATATCTTGCGTACTGCCCCTTCGAATTATCTTGTTTTCCGTTCTTAAGTCTATAAAATTAACATATTCAGTAATAGAGATGCTATCAGTTCTTAGACTACAACAACTAGGATAACTCGTGGAGGTATGATTCCTGGGGTCGGTAGTCGGAAATCCCAGTCTCCAGCGACAGAGTCGTGAAAAAAACTCAAAAGGTTACTCAACAGTATACCTCGGAGTGATGTGCATTATTCAGATCACTCAACCCGAACACCTCCACTGGGTCTTCAACAAGGAAACCAGGGTGACACTCCCGCTCAGATTCCGATTCCAAGTAAGGCTAGGATGCAAAATAATAGGATAAAAAAGCATCCTAGGGCTGAAACGATTCAGCCTACCATTCAGAAAACATACAATGATAACTATATTCCCTACTTGCTGCTATTCAAAACCAGTGACTATGCATTTGAATGTAGCTACCGCAATAGGTGGGTTCACAATCATTGTGATACTGCAGTACCTAGACAGTATTACGGGTTCATAACAGTTTACCGCTCTCCATGGCTCTAGTACTTTCGTCTACAGATCATAATCATTGCGACAACATGACCTCATTCGCTTATCAAAGGCTGATCAATTGAAGATAGCCGCAAACCGAACCAATACATTGCTGGCTGTTATAAACTCTTCAGTATCTGTTAATAGTATGGAGCAGTGACTGAGTTTGAGAAGGGGAACCAGTGACATTACATCTTTACAATTACAATTACATCTTTAATTGATCAGCCTTTGCTAAGCGAATGAGGTCATGTTGTCGCAATGATTATGCTCTGTAGACGAAAGTACCATTGAGAAGACTGAGGCAGGCGCGGAAGATTGTATTATGCAAATTTACACTCTGAGCCAATTAAAAAAAGAAAACATTACACTGAACACTCTATTTGCACACCATCTTTGAGTCGTGACTTCCAACGCTCCATCCTTCTTCCATTTCTGTTGTTGCTTCCTTTCCTTCCTGTTGGTACTCCATTTACTTCTTGCTTTTGCTCCATTTGCTTTCCGTTTTCCTCTTCTGATCGTGAGACTTCTTTCACGTCCCTTCTTATACTACTTATATCGTTCGTATAAGTAGCACGCACCACACTCGTCCCCCCTTTAACAATCTCAGTCTTTCTGATCGCCGTACAGCCGTCTTCTTTATCAGTGTTTGTGGCTCGCCCTCTTGGCGCACCTGGAACCACCTTTGGAGTTCACTGGCATTCACGCGTTTCTGTTTGTTTCCTTTGCGGATCGTACACACTGCGCCGCGTCTCCCGGTGACTACGTACGGTCCCTCCCACTTCGGGATCAGCTTACCTGACCCTGGCTCTCTTCCTGTGGTATATTTCCGTTCCCTACACTTCACTTGGTCTCCCACTTCAAACGGTCTCCAGTTCTTTCTCTCCTGTTCTGACTTCTCCATGTCTGATGTTTGTTTCTCTCTCACATTCCTGATTGCTTGTCTCCGCTCTATTCTCAACCTTGTTGTATTCCCTCTCTCTTTTGTTGCGGCCAGGTTTTATCATGCGTTGGTAGTCTCGGCCGTCTGCCATACATCAGCTGGAACGGTGACTTCCTGGTTGTTCCCTGTGCCGAGGCACGATGTGCCAGTAAGATTAATGGTAATTCTTTCTCCCAGTTACCCCCTTTAGATGCTAGCCATTACTTTAGCTTTCGGTTATTCCTTGATCGGTTAATATTATCTTTGGTATTCCATGGTCCGCCACAATGTGCCGCACTACCGCTTCAGTCACCGTCCTTGCTTGTTGGTTCGCAATCTGCACGGCATTTACCCGTCGTGTGGCATGCTCAGTCATCACCAGCAGGTACTGGTTACCACTTGTCGTCTGCGGGAACGGTCCCATAACATGCACTGACCACAAATCACCAACTGCTGTTACTGGGATTGACTGCAATGGCGGTCGTATGCATCGATCCCCTTTCATTAGTTGACATCGCTGGCACGCTAATACATATCGTGCAACATCGTCTCTCATACCTGGCCAGTACGCACTTTGTCGCAGCAAATCAGTTGTCCGTGCAATACCTGTGTGCGCTACCTGGTGACATTCACGAATCATCTCCTGGCGCAGATCTTTTGGGATTATTGCTACCCAATTCTCGTCATCATCCCGCCAGGTCAAGGCTCCGTATCCGTTCACTCTCAGTCTCTCCTTCTGCCTCAGCAACACTGTTAATTCTTTATCTGTTCCACTCTTGTCGACAACTTCTCCCTCTTTTATCACTCAAATTACCTCTCGAAGGTTAGGGTCGGCTTTCTGATGTCGGACGAGTTCTAGGGGGTCTCCCTCTAGGCCGTTAACTGCACACGCTATCTCTTGAAGTTCGGCTTCAGTGTCCGGTCTTGACAAATAATCTGCCACTACATTTTCCTCCCCTACCACATCCCCGACGCCAAAATCATACTCCTGCAGACGTAGCATCCATCGAGCCAACTTCCCACGGGGTCTTTTGCTGTTTTCAACCATTGTAGGGGCTTATGATCCGTCTCGATGTGAAATAGCCGACCCAGTAGATACGGTCTCCATTTGTCTACCGCCCATACAATCGCTAAACACTCTTTTTTTACTGTGGAATACTTCTGTTCCGTTGGCGTAAGGACACGGCTGGCATAATCCACCACTCCTTCAGACTGCCACAAGACGGCACCTATACCGTGATTTCTCGCATCAGTGGTCACTGTAAATGGCTTCTCCGGTTCCGGCAGTCTCAGCGTCATTTGGCGATCATCTAACAGCTCCTTGATTCGGTCGAAGGTTTGTTGAGCGGTCTCTGTCCACGTGAACTTCGCATTGCTTAGCACTTTATATAGAGGTGCTGATATATCGTAGAAGTTCTTCACGAATCTGCTGTCGAACGCCGCTCTTCCCAGGAACTGTCTTTTATTGGTAGCTGCCAATAGCCCGACCGTAAATCTAACACTGTGAACACCGTATCACTCTGTAGACGATCTAATGTCTCTGCTATTGTTGGCATTGCACATGGTTTTAGTTCTGTGACGTTATTCAGTTCTCTAAAGTCAACGCAGAATCTATGCTTTCCATTTGGCTTCTTTACCAAAAGTACCGGTGAGCTGAACGGGCTATCTGCTTCTTCAATTATACCTGCCTCTAACATCTCCTATACCTGCTGGTTTATCTCAGCTTCCAAATGTACGGGGACCCATCGTGTTGTGAAGATGGTCACTTCTTCGTTCTTCATCGGAATTTCATGTTTAACTTTATTACCAAATCCGTTCGGTTCTCCGTCTCCCGTGAACAACTTCGTATATTTCGTGAGCACCTCGTTAATGTTCTGTTCCTTTTCATTGTCCTCTTTCGCTACTCTAACTTCCACCACCTCGCTGCTTTCATGTATTGTCAGTGTGCCGTACTTTGTAATCACCTTCTTGCTTCTTGTATCAATAATTGCTCCTACTTCCCTCAAGAAATCTGCTCCTAGTATTGGTCTCGACAAGTTCGTAGTTACCACAAAGGGAAACTGTATTTCCGATTAGCCGATTTTCACGATATCATTTGAGACTCCTAGGATTTTTAACACGTGGCCTCCGATGGTGTCAACAACTAATGCACTCGGCCTGATACTTCTACACCGCTCTTTGTCTATTAAAGAAACTGCCGCCCCTGTACCAATCAGGCACACTACCTCTCGCTCGTTTATCCCTACTCTCGCATAGACCGTCCCCCTATCTACTACTGCCGCGACCCCCAGTTTCACAGGACATAAAGAACACCTTGTATATGGTCTAAAATGTTTACGTTTTCGTCTTGTTGGGCAATTCCTCTTCCAATGTCCGATTCCTACGCAAATATAGCATTTATAATTATTTCTTCCACCCTTTATTCGTAATGCTGCCACCTCGCGTTGTAGTTCTGCTATCTTCTTCGCGAAATCACCAGCCTGTCTTTCACACTCCACCGAGGCGACTGTTGAGTTCATCAGTTGTCTTGTTACTTTAGCCAGCACGGTCGCGTCCATTGGTTGTGCCGCGTTCACCAGTCTCAACTGTTAGGCAACCTCTGCAGGCACACTTTCAATGAATTGCTAGCAGCTGTGTTTGCGGCTCCTCATCCAAAGTCGGCAGACCTCGGCGCAGAAATCTTGTCAACTCCACAGCCAGCACGAGTGAATCGTCATCCTTCGTCAGTCTCGCCTCTCGGAACCTCTGCAGCTCATCCTGCCTATCCGCCGGGCTGTCGAACTCCACCAGCAGCCCTTCCGTCACCAACTCCCAGTCAGCGTCCGCCATTGCCTGCAATGGCGGACGCTGACTGGGAGTTGGTGACGGAAGGGCTGCTGGTGGAGTTCGACAGCCCGGCGGATAGGCAGGATGAGCTGCAGAGGTTCCGAGAGGCGAAACTGACGAAGGATGGCGATTCACTCGTGCTGGCTGTGGAGTTGACAAGATTTCTGCGCCGAGGTCTGCCGACTTTGGATGAGGAGCCGCAAGCACAGCTGCTAGCAATTCATTGAAAGTGTGCCTGCAGAGGTTGCCCAACAGTTGAGACTGGTGAACGTGGCACAACCAATGGACGCGACCGTGCTGGCTAAAGTAACAAGACAACTGATGAACTCAACAGTCGCCTCGGTGGCGTGTGAAAGACAGGCTGGTGATGTCGCGAAGAAGATAGCAGAACTACAACGCGAGGTGGCAGCATTACGAATAAAGGGTGGAAGAAATAATTATAAATGCTACATTTGCGTAGGAATCGGACATTGGAAGAGGAATTGCCCAACAAGACGAAAACGTAAACATTTTAGACCATATACAAGGTGTTCTTTATGTCCTGTGAAACTGGGGGTCGCGGCAGTAGTAGATAGGGGGACGGTCTATGCGAGAGTAGGGATAAACGAGCGAGAGGTAGTGTGCCTGATTGGTACAGGGGCGGCAGTTTCTTTAATAGACAAAGAGCGGTGTAGAAGTATCAGGCCGAGTGCATTAGTTGTTAACACCATCGGAGGCCACGTGTTAAAAATCCTAGGAGTCTCAAATGATATCGTGAAAATCGGCTAATCGGAAATACAGTTTCCCTTTGTGGTAACTACGAACTTGTCGAGACCAATACTAGGAGCAGATTTCTTGAGGGAAGTAGGAGCAATTATTGATACAAGAAGCAAGAAGGTGATTACAAAGTACGGCACACTGACAATACATGAAAGCAGCGAGGTGGTGGAAGTTAGAGTAGCGAAAGAGGACAATGAAAAGGAACAGAACATTAACGAGGTGCTCACGAAATATACGAAGTTGTTCACGGGAGACGGAGAACCGAACGGATTTGGTAATAAAGTTAAACATGAAATTCCGATGAAGAACGAAGAAGTGACCATCTTCACAACACGATGGGTCCCCGTACATTTGGAAGCTGAGATAAACCAGCAGGTATAGGAGATGTTAGAGGCAGGTATAATTGAAGAAGCAGATAGCCCGTTCAGCTCACCGGTACTTTTGGTAAAGAAGCCAAATGGAAAGCATAGGTTCTGCGTTGACTTTAGAGAACTGAATAACGTCACAGAACTAAAACCATGTGCAATGCCAACAATAGCAGAGACATTAGATCGTCTACAGAGTGATACGGTGTTCACAGTGTTAGATTTACGGTCGGGCTATTGGCAGCTACCAATAAAAGACAGTTCCTGGGAAGAGCGGCGTTCGACAGCAGATTCGTGAAGAACTTCTACGATATAGCAGCACCTCTATATAAAGTGCTAAGCAATGCGAAGTTCACGTGGACAGAGACCGCTCAACAAACCTTCGACCGAATCAAGGAGCTGTTAGATGACCGCCAAATGACGCTAAGACTGCCGGAACCGGAGAAGCCATTTACAGTGACCACTGATGCGAGAAATCACGGCATAGGTGCCGTCTTGTGGCAGTCTGAAGGAGTGGTGGATTATGCCAGCCGTGTCCTTACGCCAACGGAACAGAAGTATGCCACAGTAAAAAAAAGAGTGTTTAGCGATTGTATGGGCGGTAGACAAATGGAGACCGTATCTACTGGGTCGGCTATTTCACATCGAGACGGATCATAAGCCCCTACAATGGTTGAAAACAGCAAAAGACCCCGTGGCAGGTTGGCTCGATGGATGCTACGTCTGCAGGAGTATGATTTTGGCGTCGGGCATGTGGTAGGGGAGGAAAATGTAGTGGCAGATTATTTGTCAAAACCGGACACTGAAGCCGAACTTCAAGAGATAGCGTGTGCAGTTAACGGCCTAGAGGGAGATCCCCTAGAACTCGTCCGGCATCAGAAAGCCGACCCTAACCTTCGGGAGGTAATCAGAGTGATAAAAGAGGGAGAAGATGTTGACAAGAGTGGAACAGATAAAGAATTAACAGTGTTGCTGAGGCAGAAGGAGAGACTGAGAGTGAACGGATACGGAGCCTTGACCTGGCGGGATGATGACGAGAATTGGGTAGCAATAATCCCAAAAGATCTGCGCCAGGACATGATTCGTGAATGTCACCAGGTAGCGCACACAGGTATTGCACGGACAACTGATTTGCTGCGACAAAGTGCGTACTGGCCAGGTATGAGAGACGATGTTGCACGATATGTATTAGCGTGCCAGCGATGTCAACTAATGAAAGGGGATCGATGCATACGACCGCCATTGCAGTCAATTCCAGTAACAGCAGTTGGTGATTTGTGGTCAGTAGATATTATGGGACCGTTCCCACAGACGACAAGTGGTAACCAGTACCTGCTGGTGATGACTGAGCATGCCACACGACGGGTAAATGCCGTGCAGATTGCGGACCAACAAGCAAGGACGGTGACTGAAGCGGTAGTGCGGCACATTGTGGCGGACCATGGAATACCAAAGATAATATTAACCGATCAAGGAATAACCGAAAGCTAAAGTAATGGCTAGCATCTAAAGGGGGTAACTGGGAGAAAGAATTACCATTAATCTTACTGGCACATCGTGCCTCGGCACAGGGAACAACCAGGAAGTCACCGTTCCAGCTGATGTATGGCCGCAACAAAAGAGAGAGGGAATACAACAAGGTTGAGAATAGAGCGGAGACAAGCAATCAGGAATGTGAGAGAGAAACAAACATCAGACATGGAGAAGTCAGAACAGGAGAGAAAGAACTGGAGACCGTTTGAAGTGGGAGACCAAGTGAAGTGTAGGGAACGGAAATATACCACAGGAAGAGGGCCAGGGTCAGGTAAGCTGATCCCGAAGTGGGAGGGACCGTACGTAGTCACCGGGAGACGCGGCGCAGTGTGTACGATCCGCAAAGGAAACAAACAGAAACGCGTGAATGCCAGTGAACTCCAAAGGTGGTTCCAGGTGCGCCAAGAGGGCGAGCCACAAACACTGATAAAGAAGACGGCTGTACGGCGATCAGAAAGACTGAGATTGTTAAAGGGGGGACGAGTGTGGTGCGTGCTACTTATACGAACGATATAAGTAGTATAAGAAGGGACGTGAAAGAAGTCTCACGATCAGAAGAGGAAAACGGAAAGCAAATGGAGCAAAAGCAAGAAGTAAATGGAGTACCAACAGGAAGGAAAGGAAGCAACAACAGAAATGGAAGAAGGATGGAGCGTTGGAAGTCACGACTCAAAGATGGTGTGCAAATAGAGTGTTCAATGTAATGTTTTCTTTTTTAATTGGCTCAGAGTGTAAATTTGCATAATACAATCTTCCGCGCCTGCCTCAGTCTTCTCAATGGTACTTTCGTCTACAGAGCATAATCATTGCGACAACATGACCTCATTCGCTTAGCAAAGGCTGATCAATTAAAGATGTAATTGTAATTGTAAAGATGTAATGTCACTGGTTCCCCTTCTCAAACTCAGTCACTGCTCCATACTATTAACAGATACTGAAGAGTTTATAACAGCCAGCAATGTATTGGTTCGGTTTGCGGCTATCTTCAATTGATCAGCCTTTGATAAGCGAATGAGGTCATGTTGTCGCAATGATTATGATCTGTAGACGAAAGTACCAGAGCCATGGAGAGCGGTAACCTGTTATGAACCCGTAATACTGTCTAGGTACTGCAGTATCACAATGATTGTGAACCCACCTATTGCGGTAGCTACATTCAAATGCATAGTCACTGGTTTTGAATAGCAGCAAGTAGGGAATATAGTTATCATTGTATGTTTTCTGAATGGTAGGCTGAATCGTTTGAGCCCTAGGATGCTTTTTTATCCTATTATTTTGCATCCTAGCCTTACTTGGAATTGGAATCTGAGCGGGAGTGTCACCCTGGTTTCCTTGTTGAAGACCCAGTGGAGGTGTTCGGGTTGAGTGATCTGAATAATGTACATCACTCCGAGGCATACTGTTGAGTAACCTTTTGAGTTTTTTTCACGACTCTGTCGCCGGAGACTGGGATTTCCGACTACCAACCCCAGGAATCATACCTCCACGAGTTATCCTAGTTGTTGTAGTCTAAGAACTGATAGCATCTCTATTACTGAATATGTTAATTTTATAGACTTAAGAACGGAAAACAAGATAATTCGAAGGGGGCAGTACGCAAGATATGGGTTTGTGAAGGAGGAAAATAATAATATTCAGACTGAGTGGACCTATACTACACAAGAATAGGGCGTGAAAGTCATTTAAAATTACAACTTTACGTTTGACCATCCTAGTAAGCAACTTCGCGTGGATCCAGTTACTTTTCCATGAGTTTTTTGTTTGTGAGTGAATGTGTATGTGCTGCCGAAGCAACTAGGAAGGGAGCAGTTAACTGAGACAGCTAGACAGACTTTGAATGGCTCTGTTTGTCCTAAGTGTTATTCAGATAGTCTATCAATGAATGGAGACAACTTTCATATCTTCGAGAATGATTAAATATCCCTATATGGTGTCGAAAACTGTGTTTTTTCCTTTAAACAGTGCGAGGTCAACGAGGACACGTTATGTTTTGGAAGCGTGCTCATGATTTCTGTAAAAAACTGTCATGAATTGAAAATGGGCCAATGCCATTTTGTGCTACAGTGTGATAATAATAGTTTATCCTTCAATCTACGAGGTAGAAATTAATTTGACTACTAAAGAGCATTTCATTTGAGCAGTTTGGCTACTTTATATTGATTAGTGTTTAAATGAGTTTGTTTGTTTGTTTGTTTAATAGTTGGTGGGTAGCCATTCACTTTGTCCGCCATGAAACGGGACAGTTCAGGAAATAACCAGGATGGTCCTCCATCGAAATTTCAGCGTTCTACCGTAGATCTAACCAATGTTTCTATCAGATTTCTTATTCCTGGGAGAGCTGCAGGGATAATGATTGGGAAGGGTGGGGAAAATATCAAAAAAATACGGTCACAGGTTTGTTACTTCATAATTCATTCAGTGACTTGCTCAATCGCTGTTTTGGCACCGACTGACTCGATTCTTTGTTTTATGTTCTTTACGGTTCCTCCACCTCCCGGACACTAACTCGCTAAATCTGGTCAATCTCCTCTGATAACCCAATGGTTTGGGTTGGTACCACATGCCTGCCTTATTCTCAAACTGATGACTCTGGCTCACTGAAAACGGCCCTGCTTTATCCCATTTACTGTCTCAGTATAACGTCAAGCTGAATATTCCCGACAGCAGAGGCCCTGAACGGTAGGGTAACCCAGAAACTTAATGTCACCTTGATGTGTATTCGGTCGATTAATTAGTTTGCCTAAATTATTGTTTTCATGTTTTTGGTTCATTTTTGTGTTTGTAAAGCCCTTTTGGCGATCGTTTGCCGAGTAATTCATGATTTTGGCTGTCAGTTAACCTACTAGCTACTGTCGTTATGAAACAAGTACTAGGTAGAGATGTTAGATCAGATGATGTATTGAGAATTCATCAGTTGGGGTGAGTGAGTCATGTGTTTCGTATGCCCAACCGATGACTGACTCGACGAGCGATTCTTAGTGATGTGGGGATAGGTTGAAAATAAACCAGGGGCAGCCCAAACATGGCACAACTTCATGAATTCATTGATAACTGGACTGAACCATGTTGGTAAAAGTCGACTACCTAGTTTGGGACCGTGAGACGATGATAACCGATGGCTGGAGACCTTGAACAACATGGCTTAAGATCGTTTGCAGTGGAGCTTATACGCCTTCTACCACCGGGATTCAATATGACAATTGTGTCGCCGTGCCAATGTGATGTGGCAACCTGGACTGATGTAAGTACGCACGAAGTTCTACGCCGTAACTGACTGACTGACGAGTTACTGTTGTGACTGGGGCTTCCAGTGACTTAGCCATGGATACAAACCTATTATGTAAACGTTTAGACAAGTTTTGGGGATAACCCTTAGATGGTTGTTTAGTTCTCCGAACCCTCCACGACTTTCACTATATGGAAGGGTATCATAAGCTTCATTATATTATCCAAGCTTCTGTATTTTCCTTCTTTCCCACCCTAACTTGTTTTTTTCCAATAGGATAATGACTATCGAGGGTGACCTGCAGGCCATCTGCAGCATAATGCGCGATGTTTGTCCAAAACTAAAGGTAAGGTTGAACTAACTACTCTGACTTTATAGGATATAATGAACGCAAAACTCTCCGATCCGAAACGTATAATGGGTGCCCAAGGGTTTCGGCGTCGTCCAAGACGAAACGAAGATCCAGAACGGGATGACGAGGAAGACGAAAACATGATCGACTTTAGAATCCTAGTGCACGAAAGCCAAGCTGGCTCCGTCATCGGCCGAGGTGGGGAACGTATTAAGGATCTCCGTGATGTAAGTCTGCTAGTGTTTTCTCCAACATAAAATTTAGAAGTACAAAATGCGTGTTATCAAGGTGTATCAGATGTTGGCTCCACTATCCACTGACCGAGTAGTACAGATGGTTGCTGACCCAGACAATGTCGTCCAATGCTTGAGAGCTGTGATAGAGGCGGTTGAGGTAAGTGCGGATGTTTCACCGAATCATTTTCTTTATTCTACCGATTGTTGCCACAAACTCATTGGTAGTCACGAATCCAAGTCTCAAGATTGTCCCGCAGGTGTGAAAGAATACCGCCGTGATCCCATCGGTAAACGATCGGGCATTATGGTGCCGTGGCATCAACAAACATTTACATACGTACCAACCTAGAAATATTACCGAACGTTTTATGTCGCCAGCATTGCCGTGAATGTTGTATCTCATCTCTGGACGTACTGACTGACTTCTTATGATGTGGATGCATTCCTTGCGTCTAGTAATACTAGCTATTTTGTACTTGTGTTACCTGTGTTTCTGCCTAATGTTGTATTTTGTACATTTCAGTCTGCTCCTCCTCGTGGTCGCCGTGAAGACTATGACGCTGCCAACTTCAGTGAGGGTGATGCTCTTAACTACGGTGGTTGGTTGTCTCGAGAGGCTGCAGCAGCACTAGCTCAAGGGATGCCACTCCGTGGACCTGGATGCATGCCGCCAATGGGTTATAACATGGGTGGTCCGTATATGATGGGTGGTGGTGACATGGGGCCAATGGGTGGTGGAATGGGCCCCATGGGTGGAGGAATGGGTCCTATGGGCGGTGGACCGATTCCCGGAGGCCGTGGTCGAGGGCCTCGCTCCGGCGGTGGGATGATGGGTGGAAATGCACCTCTTGCGCAAGGTCAACGAGGGATGATGGGCTCCTCAGGACCGGCACCGGTTCCTCCTCCAGCCGGTCGTAATACTTCTATGGGTCCACCAGGCGGTTATAGTAGTTCAGTGGACGGAGGTTACGGTGGTCAAGGTGGATACGATGGTCCAGGTGGATTCGATAACGGAGCATACGGAGGCATCGATCAAACTGGACAAGGCGGGTTTAGTGGTCCTGGATACGGTGGGTCGGGCAACATGACTTCTGGAGGCTACGGTGCGTCTGGGTATGGTGGAAGCCAGCGCGGATCTAGTGACATGGCAGGTGGTCAAAGGTAAGCTAGTTCATGTTATCCCGCGTAAACTGACACGAAAAAGCTGAAACTCGTGCGAATTCTAGTAGTTGTTTGACAACTAAAATCTGTGTACCTCAGGGTTAATCACGCGACAAGAACTCACCAAGAGCTATCGCTCACTTTAATTCCAAAGCCTTTCGCAATAATCCACCAGTCACTTATTAGCGATGGGATGTCGCTGTTTGTATCGAGGACCCCAGGAAACTGTTAGATACTTGAGGGTCTGTTCGAGCTGAGCTGTGACGGTCCGTCCAGTTGTTGGGAGTAACCGCCATGGTTTTTAGGGAGTACACTGCACCTTTACTTCTGCGGGGCATGATTGTTTATATCAAGGTGTGTCTACCTGAAATGCTAGTTTTGAATGGCTTTTCGGAAGATATCAAGGCACATGTTGGTTGAAAGTGACTAATTAAGAACACTGCAGTTTGGAACTAGGCAAGTGTAGTTGAGTCGTTCGATCCTACATCAGTGGGTCTCGAGTTTATACTTCGCTTCAACTGCATAGTATCGTTAGTCCTCACACAAATAGTGTAGCTGAAATCCTGTTTCATGGACCTGGATTACAAGTGTACGTACCTAGCTAAAGTAGAGAAGACTGCTTGTTGCGACTTGGTTACTGTAGGACTGGGATTATGTTTATTTAAGTCGGGCAACATGACCGCCGGCGTCTAAGTTTTATGATCATGTTGTGTTTTGATTTCTTGGACGCTTTTGTCAAGTTGCCTCATAATCTTCTAATCAACAGACCTCAGTCCGACTGGGAATATGTTTATCCGCCGTCTCAAACCACAATATCTCTAATAAGACATTTGTTCTCCTTGTAGTGCGTCTCGGGGTGGCACCTATGGCGGGTATGGAAATATGGGATCTGGAGAGCCCGTTGGAGGCAAAATCACCCAGTGGTATGGCGGATGGCTCTAAAACCTTGTTTGCATTTAACTTCAGTGAAATATACCAGTAAATAAATAACAAACACTTGTTGGTTCTTGACTAAATGCGGGTAAGATGGGATCTTAGGTTTGTACGTCGGTTGAGTCAACTAAGTGGGGTTTGCGTTGATATAAGAGCGTAGGATTGTGCGTGTTTGTTTAGTCTAGAGTTAGTGCGGGGATGTTGTGGCCATACTACAAAGTTATGTAGTTCTGTTTGACGTCTGTTTATTTGATTCACTATCGGGTATACGGCGATAGATCGCCTGGACAAACCTAGAGTGTTCGGATGAGCTCCGAACACTCCTTCCGACTGGTATTTTATGCAGGTGGGAGGACCTGGATGCTTTGTTTATATTCGTTTGTGAAGGAGCAGTAGGGTTCGTTCTTCTTGACCCACACGGTGTGCAGGGGTGTCCCGGGCATCGTTTTGGAGAAGCGCATGAGTAGGGTTCTGGTGTCGTAACATGAAGGAGTAGGGCGATGGTGGTCAAATCTTACTCAGTCCGTCATCCCATTACAAGCGAGGGAGTGGTTATTCGCGCTTCCTTGGGGTGAATGCAGCTCTGTGCGTGTTACGCTCACATAGTTGACGTAAATCAAATTTTGCCCTTAGTGTACTAACTATCAATAATGGGGAGATCAAGCCTCCGTCAATGTGTTGAGTAGTCGCACTCGGTGGGTTCGCTTCATGACGCTTGACGGTCGGTATGATGCTCAAGTGTAGCGGAGTGCATGTTGGCTAGTCAACTGTTGGTTATTGAGTTCAAAGGGTCATTTTCAAGACTAAAATTGGATCGTCTAGAGGTTGTGCTAGGCATCTCAATCCGTACAATTTGAAGGGTTCGATAGTTTCACATCAAATCTATGGTCCTCTGATTGCATTGCTTTCGGCTGATACTCGTACATGTGTACAAGGGCACTACTGTTATCAATGTGTTGCCTGAAATTTTCACTTCAATACTTCTTTTTGAACGTTTTACCATGTGGACTCACTAGTATTGTGTTCACATTCATACAATGATGCCTTATTTTGAACATTTCATCAGATGTATGCAGCGCTCTCGTTTTATGATTATCTCTATCTTGTACGTCTCATGTTGTAAATCAATGGAATATCTACATTTTGCGCATATGGTTGTTTGTTTTGTCAAATTCTAATCTGGATTTTCTATGGCTTATCTTTCTCATTGAAAATCTATTTCACTGGCATAAACTTCTGTAATCCTATCTTTGTTTCCTAATCTTTTTGATAGTCGTTAATACTACTACTACCTCTACTGTGATTTGAAATGAAAATCCCATCTCTCTGTGAAACATGAACTGATGTCCTTCGTTGTAGCTGACTGATCGGGTTACAACTCTTGTAGCCGAACAGCTTCTTTTTAATCAATCATGTTGTCAGTGTTTTGTTTACGTTTTGCATTTTCTCGACTTAGTTTCCTTAATTGTTTTGTTCGTAAACGCCTATATTCGTCTTCAAATTCGGTTACTGGTTTTTTTTCAATTTGACGGTGTGAAATTCGGCCTTCCCCCAGGAATTTAATCATCACATGAGAATCCCAAAATGTCTTTCGGTCATCAGAACGCCTTGTAATATTCCCACTATATATATGTTTCAAACACTCAGTTGGGCTTACGTAGGGGTATCTGGATATTTATACTGCACAAGTTAATTAACTTGTGTGAGCTGGAATAGTACCCAGGTGTTCATAATGAAGCAGATAAGTTTGTTAGGTAGTTGTCACTGCATAAGATGATCCACAGTCTAATCCGCAAGGCAGTGAAGCGACATCTTATAGTAGCCGACAACTAAAAAGTATGTTCATACGCTTTTGGTTCTCTCAGATTCCTGGAGTCCGTTTGCGCCGTTTGTTTGTAGTGAGGGGTTTCCCGAATCAAGTGTATCCTCTGTACCCATCAACTCAGTTTACTCACGGGAACATATGATTTTCGTTCTCTTGATTTGTTTAACAATACATACACGGAGACAATGTGTTGGTTTCCCCCGGCAATGTCTATATACGCCTGCTAGCGAGAGCGTTTCCAGAGGAAGAGCAGGTTTTCTCCACTCTACGATGTACTAAGGAATCGTCACAATTCCTAATTAGCATATTGTTTATTTCACGTTTATTGATGATGTACAGAAATTTTTTAGGACAGTAAATCTAATCGTTCATACTTTTCGGCGCTATGATTTTAATGCTAAAATTGAACAATTCTCTGGTGTTACGTTGTAGTGCAGAGTTCTGACAATTTTAGTAAGCTAGGCACAATTACGCTAACCGTTGGCTTGAAGCCATTACTTATTGGGCGGTTTATGTTACTAGATAACCTAATGTCCTTAAACGAAGGTTAGATCACAATTTTATGTAATTTACCACATGTCAGATATTTGGAAACTTCCTATTGTCATGTAATTGGCTTTGTCTGTTATGGAGCTTAAAAAATTGAAGTGTTAATCTCTTAAACGTATTCAACACTTCGTATTCCTCTTCTAATATGTAAACCGTGAGGTGCCATTTAGTAACGGTTGTCTGGACGAGCAACAAACGAAGTCTAATAACCCACTAGATACCGATCGTCACGAAACTAGTGAGACACTGGCCACCACACATTTTCTACCCATCTACGTGCATCTTGTTATTGTGTAATTAAGAAATAGATAAAATTTATGTAAAGAACAGTTGAATGGATTGTATCGAGCAGTACAAACATAGAATAAGTAGGCAAATGGTAAAATACGTCATTGTTTGTATCAATTAGGCCACTTTTCAAATATAAAATTAATAACAGTAAGAATATCTGAAATCTGTTTAATACCAACTAGTATTCATCACATATACCCTTGCCAACAGTTTTGTAACAAATCAAGAGTACTAAGTCTACTGATCTGTTTCGTGACGGGTTCTTTTTAAAATTCCTCTATTTAATTACTCTAAGCTGACTGCTCAAAATATTGATAACGTAATGGAAAGCCTCCAAAAGTAACTTTCATAAGTTGAATTATGAAATGAAGGAACACAATTTTAAATGTCATTTCTAAACCATCACAACAGATAGTGAATGAAGTAATCTAACCGAGTGAGTGATGATGAACTGTTATGTCGTAAACTGCGTTCTTTTCATCATAGTGAAGAGATCAAGAATAACCATCTTAGCTGAAAAAGTTACTGTTTACCGGCTTACTCAGTGTATTATTTACAAATTTGATCGAACGATATATCACTTGTATAACCTGTGAACAAGATTCAAGCCACAGTTGGTCGGTTGGTTAAATAAACACGGGTTCACGTTATACTAGATACACGATACCAGTACCAAATACTGAAGGACCATAGTACAAGTGTTAGACAATATCTTAATATAATTACAAATTGAGTCTACTCAATCAGTTTAAAATAGAAATCAGTGATAGTCAGTCAGATGCAACGTAGAACTTCGTACGTAAGTACATCTGTTCATGTTGCCATACCACATCGGCACAGAGATATAATTATCAATTCAAATCCAATAGTAGTAGAGGTAGTAAAGGTATTAGAAGTAATCAGAGAGATTAGGATTAGAAGATATTCAATAATTATGATTCAGTGAGATGAGTTAAGAAAGTCAAAACTAGAGGGTTTGAAGAATCCAGAAGATTAAGATTTGAGAGAACACAAAGAATGGATGCACCTGCGTTATTGCAAACGGTTTTGAGTCATGTAATTCAGTTTCTCTAATCATCGATTATGATCATCTCGTGGGCCCCAATCAGGTAGTCGACACTTACCGACATGACTTAGTCCACTTGTCAGTGATTTCGTGGATTTCTGCCATGTTTTTGTCTGGCCGCCCCCAAACTTTCTTCTAACCTACTCCTACACTATAAAACAAAGCTCGTCGAGGCAGTCGGTGGTTAGGCATACGCAGCACATGTCTCAACCACCTCAACTGATGAAGTTTCATTACTTCATTTATTGATCTGCCTGTGAGATCAGGCAACATGACTTCCGGAGGCTATGGTGGGTCTGTCATCTAGGAGAAAATTTATTGTTTTTACGTTATATCATTGCTTTTTTCTCCTTAAAACCTATAATTTTAACTGAGAATTTGAACTGATGTAAATTTTGATACCAACTGACGAGTTTTCAATGCGGAACGAACTGCCAGTTGTGGATTCTACTTCTAGTTAAAATTTATCCTTTTCGCTTTTAAATAAGATGCTTTAAATCATGATAGTCGAGATTTTCATGATGTTGTTGAAAAAGAAGGGAATAGTTGAAAATTAATTTGATAAAAGAATTTTTTGATAGGAAAGTAAGCATTTCTTATGATAATGGAAATTTCGTTTTCAGATCATTTGAAGCTTACATATAGTGGAAGTAGTAATAGTAAGAATTATCATTATTATTAGCAAACGTCTGGTGTTTACCATCATTGGTGTTAAGACTTGTAATCGATAAAGCTGCCTCTCTGATAATAAAATAGAGCCTTGAATGAATATTTTCATACTGCCTAACGCAATCGGATGTTTTTATTCCGGATGTTAGTTAGTGTTGATATATTACAGAAAAGGCACACCGTATGTATTACTTGAGACTCGTTAGTTGGATATGCTCAAATTCTATTGCTGATGTTTGTAGTTCAACTGCTTTGAATGTAATCCTCATTGAACAAATTATTAACTGAGTAAAGTTAATCAACTAGCAGATAATTTCTTTTTCTATTTATTGATATTGTCTCGATAGATTTGTAAATTTTAAACAGCCAAAACCAGTTATGGAAAAAAATTTGATTTTTTAAATTACGAGTTGTAATTCAATTTAAAAAGTACAGAAGAAAACAATTAGAAGACCGATTTTAGTTTTCTTTATTTCCAAAAATTGTCTTCATTGCATAATGTATTGTTCTTGTTAATTGTAACTGGAAAACATGTTGCGCAATAATTAAAATGTGATGAGGAATTATTTCCGGTCAATAGACACATGACTATCACAGAACTGATTCGTGTGATAACAAAGGAAGCTTTTTAATGAGTATCTGAAGAGCTATGTTTAGTATCTACCAATCATTACAATTAGGTTATATAGAATGGAAGGATTTTTGCAAACATTTTGGAATCTAGAACGTCGACAGCTGGATTTACTTGCATCTCACAGATCATGCTCACATTGTCTGAAACTAGGTTGAGTTCCTTGAAGACCATTGTTTGATCATTAAACATAGTTTATTTCAGTGCACATTCAAAAAGAATTAAACCAAAATATCATATTCGTTGTAGTTTGTTTTGGATCAGCCACCTTGACGTAATGGTCGGGCTTGTCTATTGTCATAACCCAACCGAGCTATACTGGCTGGAACATATGTTCCTCTAGGTTCTACCATGCCAGGCAGGTCAATTGGAGAACAATCAGACTAAAAGAAGCTACTCAAGGTCTGAGGGGGAAGTTGCACTGCTGACTGTAGATGGTTGTGACGGGTGTACGATTTTTCCCTTAAACAACCAGCATCTGCAGCGATGCTGCCTACTCACAAGAAAAGAAGTGTTAGAAAAGGTCGACCCTAAAAATGTCGAACCTCACCTTACCTCACGGACTCCTGTTCGCGGCGTTAAGGCTACTTGAAGAGCGTAGCTAACACTTTAAATATTTCTCGTAAGGCCGTAAAGGACCGGCTCAAAACAGCTGTCCTGCCGTCACGCCCCCAGATCTCTAAGATCAACGCTAATCTACCTTCATTTTCAGGTTCCTCAAGAAACATCCTTCCGTGGTGTGGGCAGCCTGGAAGTGAAGTCCGCCCTCATACCCGTAACATCATACGAGACCGAATCGGTCACAATCAAATCCTTCCTACACCACCTAACATCATGTTAGGTAATTCATCAAATATCCTGAGAGAATTATTTTGTAAGTCTCATTCTATTGGCCAATTCCAATTGGTCGTCCTAACTATCAATATCACATACTTCAGATGTTATTTCCTATTCGACCTGTCTGTATAAATATGCATTACCTGTAACGTTCTATAATCTGGACTCGGAAGTCATATTTTCTGGGTGCTTGTAAAATACACGTTCAACTTCATATCAAGTCTTCTTCCCCTACTTAATGGGCCTTGGGACGCTCGGATTAGAGTAGCGTGTCATGTCGCCGGATCATCGATACTCGTACTCATTTACCGACTAAGGTGAACTCGAAGTAGTTCAAGAATATCAATTGACGTGGTGAAGCTGTGCGTTCGTAACACACCCCCCCTTATCTTAACGGCTAACTCTTGTCATATTACTTCATCATCCCACACCGATTATGCAAACGATTCGAGTACATAAACGTTTTTCCTGGTGTCCTGAAACCACGTTCTAAACTGCCTGTTGGTGCTCTGAATGCATGGATATCCTGCCGAATAGGACAACAAGCTTCGTTAGCTAGAATTTAAGAATTTCGCGCCAGCGATGTATGCTGCGTCTTCAAATCGCGCATACAGTATCCAGGTAGGGTCATTCATTTGACGTCACCACGTCGAGAGAACGAAACACCTAGACCTACACTTTGAGTAACTGCGAGCCCTGCTGCTGCTTCCCGTGGATTCACTGGTGTCAGTATATCACTGACTGGATCCCGTAGAGAATCGCTTGCGCGCAGGCCGACTGAACAGGACAGTACGGAGTCGTAAAGAATGGGAAACTAGCCGTCGCATCGTCGTATCTGACGACACAAAAGTTACGTCCTACAGAAACCTCTATAAACTTCAAAAAGTTGAGCGTTCTGATATAGTAATAATGACTGGTGACTTCAATGCTCATACAGGTAGACCAAGTGAAGACACATGGGTGTACCTTAGGCTCTTGCAGCTAGTGGCAACCGTCTGCAGCAACTATGCTCGGATAACCGCCTATTCCTAGCAAAAACTAACTTTAGGCATAAGGAAAGATATCATTTGACCTGAGGACACCCAAAGTTGTCACAACGCCAGACCCAAAAAGATAACATCGCTATCAGCCGCCGATAAGGGGGTTCTCAAGCACATGTTTCGATTCAGATCATGCTCTAGCGCAAGCTTGTCTGCGGGTTACTGGATGTTAGAAAAATATATAGCAAACAAACCTACTAGGGTTCTACTTAATGATAATAAAGCTAAGAAGATGTTTCAGGGACAAATAGAAAAACAGTTAGGCAGCCATGTAGTAAGTGATACCCACTCTGGGACAGCTTGGGATGATATCCAAAATGCTGTGGAAACAGCAGCAGTATCTGCTAGTAAGGTAAACCATAAGGTTAGACAGAAGCCGTGGATTTCAGTAGCATCTACCGAACTGATGGATACTCGAAAGCTCATTCCGCCTGGTGTAGCATCTAACCATTCATTCATCGTAATTTAATAATTAGTCGTTTAAATTATTCGATAATGGTAGTATCGATCATAATTTTGGATTTGTAATAATTCGATGACGGTTTCGATTATTGTATATTCATTGGGAGCTGGCTCACTCGCCTTCTCCAATTCGCTTCGTTTTGCTTGTACGCTCCCCTTCTCGTGTTTGTCTGCATAGATGAATGCATGAAATAAATTCATCCGGAACACCATATTTGGCTTCCTACTACCGCCGTCGCACAAACGCGGTTGGCCTAAGTATAATATACGGAAGTGGAGAGGAAGATTTATTTCATTGCATACTTGATCATTCGTCAACATTAGAGTCCAGTAGTGAGCCGCTAAACTGGCTCTGAGAATGGAGTCAGTTTAGGCACAGGCTGATAAAAAGCCTTCGCAATAATCACGAACGGTGGTGAGTAGCGAAAGCAAGGGAGATGCAAAAGGCAATGGCAATAGCAGACAGTTGTTCCGACTTATCAAGGAAACCGGTTTTAGGAACACGAATGTGGGTGAGACTATTACGCAAGAAGATGGTCTTATTATTCATTCTCAATACAGGAGATTGGATCGATGGGCAGAACACTTTAGGGACCAGTTCAACTGGCCTTCAGTCATACCGCTTGCCCACGATCTCCAGTCATCCTGAATGGCGAATCGATGTAAGTTATCCGACTCTTTATGAAGCTGAGAAAGCCATAGGAAGTCTGAAGCGAGGGAGAGCAGCGGCTTGACCCCTGAGATTTTAAGGATGGTGGTCCAGTTTTAGCAGTTAGATTGACCGAGATCTGGAGTAAATACCATCCGACCGGTCGCAATCGCGGATGTATGTCAAGGGTTTTACGTGTTCCAAGACAACCGAAACAAGAGTTATCTGGTTGACGCATGTTATGTTGTATCGGAGGACAGTGCTTTCCCCTTTATGTATGTTGAGACCTACTGCTTCTGGGGCTGCTGCGTGATATAAGAGCCTCAACATCTGCGAACTGCAGATTTCTCAACTACATCCTGGCTGTCCAATGTATACCGTGACTCCCTCCAGATGTTGACGTCTTCATAATTCAGTCAATCACCAGGAGAACAAGAAAGGGTGGGAGTAAGCAAACTTGCCTAACACTGGTCTTCACCTCGAATGAGTCCGTGGTTATTTAGCTGAATACAATTATTGATGAGAATTTCATAAAAAAATTGGCTTTTGCCAACCTTCGGCATTTATGGCGTAGGCCGGATATCCGTTTGCTAGCCGAAGGACGAGTATACTGCGCAGCAGTTCACTCAGTCTTACTATACGGATGCGAAACATGGCTATTGGGAGTAGAGGACATTCGTAAATTGCTTTTCTTCGATCATAGATGTCTCCGAAGCATTGCTCGTATTTCCTGGGAAAACCGAGTAAGCAATGCTGTTGTTAGGAAACGAGTACTATGTAGGGATGGGCAATCAATAGACGAAGTATTGACACTGAGGTGGTTGGGACATGTGTTACGTATGCTTAACCACCGACTGCCTCGTTGAGCTATGTTTTTTGGTGTAGGAGTAGGTTGAAAGAAAGCTGGGAGCGGCCAAACAAAAACATGGCAGAAATCCATGAAGTCATTGACAAATGGACTGAGTCATGTTGGTAGGTGTAGGCTACCTAGTAAGGGTCCACGAGACAATACTAACCGATGGTTAGAGACCTTGAATAACATGGCTCAAAATCGTTTGCTATAGCGCAGGTGTATCCAATCTTTGGGTTCTCTCAAATTTTGATTTGAATTCCTCATGACCGCTTTTCGCTTTTAAATCGATTCGACGTGAGTATGCTTCTCGAATCATATCATTTTGATTACCGATTACACTTGTACTAACTCTCCTACAATGGGATTTGAATTTACAATTGCGTTTCTGTGTTAATATGATATGGCAACTTGAAATGATGTATGTACGTACGAAGTTCTACGTTGTAACAGACAGACTGACTGTTCCACTGCTACAAGTTCGACTAAGAGTTCACACCGTAATCTACGCTCTCGAACTTCGACGCAACAACATATTGTTAGCTTGGGATGCCTGGATTTTTATTATTCAGCATACAGACTCTAAAATTCTGGAAAGATTTTCAACTTTTCTCCAGAATTTTAATGAAATTTATTACGACCAGTCTTTTGATTTCAATACTGAAAGTGTTTCATAATTATGAGATATTTCCAGATGATATTTATTTTTTCATGTAACAAAACTCATGTACGAAAAGAATTTTTACTGAAATATTTAAGAATATCTAAAATAAAAGGTTTTATAAAAAATACCAATACTTAAACGGATCAATATATAGTTATTAAATAAAAAAAATTAAATAGTTGGAAGTGGTTAGTTAAATCTGTTACAACTTTAAGTGTTTACAATTCAAGTATGATCCACCAGGCTGATACAGTCTCATTTTGAAATAGAAGTTAATGGAAGTACACACGGTGTCAACTGACGATGTGCAAGAAATACGCCGAAAAAATTCGAAAGCTACAAAGTTAAGTTCGTCACAGGTACGTTCATGTTTTACAATGATTCTCTCAGATTGCTAGATTATATATTGAAAACTGTGTCAAAATAGTGGTTAATATCTCTTAGAAGATTTGGTTTGTTTTGCGACAAGCCCATCAAAGCAGCTGAGAATTAACTGTTCAGCATTTACAGACAGTATATAACCGGTATTAGATCATAGCAAAAAGTTAGCTTGAATACAAATATGGTCTTTCTTGAGATTCTTAATTTGCTTGCCTTTAAAAATCTATGAGGCTTTCTTCACGGCTGATAACCTAGCAGATGTTAGGTGAGAAAAGTATGCAGACAATATGATCAGATGTGACTCACAAACGGCTAATGATTTAAAGAGAATACATGTTGAGACTGACAAATTTTACAAAAGTGACAAAAGTATGTATCTCTTTTATTTTCTCTCATAACACTGTTCTAGCCAATGTGCATTCTACACGTTTCACTGTACACAGAACCTCATCTGTACCAGCTGACAAGCTTATGATCGAGTAACGGGAACAATCTGTCGCTGCGTACTTCTACAAACATCACCATATCAAGTAAAAATATCCTGATCTCCCATACATAAAGGTAGGTAGTGTGTATTTATTGTTGTATTCCTTAGGTTGATCAAAAACGGGAGGTTTATGTACCTCTATGGAATTACTTAATATTCTACCCTTTCAAGCTGATGTGGCTAGTAAGGCCGTTTGTTGTGCAACAGTCCGCCCCTAAAAACGTATCCGGGAGCTTCTGGGGTTCGCTAATTCGATTCCAAGGTAACCATGTTTGTATATTTCTCACTGTACCCACAAGTTAATTGATGAAAATGCAGTCAAACATTGAATACGTTATACGTCTTTTTCCTAGTTAGTAAAAGCGCCAACAAACCTGTACATGTAAAGACACTTGTACTCCAACTACCTAAAGCAGTTTTTGATCATTCGGACAAAACTCAACTGAACACTGGGAGTTAGAATGCCCCAGATTTTTGTAAACCATTTTGACGCGGTATTGAATTTCAGTGGGGAATACTTTGCATTCCAAGAAACCCCGTATGTTCATTAAAGTGATATTTTCCCAGTGCTGACGGTTGATTGCTCAATAAAACACCGAAATACTTAGCAGCGTAAATAAATTCGAGGGTAAATGTTTTCTCTTCCGTATCTGTTCATATGCTCCGAGAAAATACACTGCAAACTAATAACAAATTAGTAAACTAACTCCCTTAATTGTCTGTGCTATTACATCACTCCTAACGAAATGGCATCAACAAACCACGCAAAGAAATACACAACACAAGCCTTGGAAGGTCAATTTTAACTGTCGTCGACTGGACAAATCAATATCGCTATCTAGAGATAAATAATGCACAGTGCATAAATACGTTCTGATCCTCAGTATTACTCAACCATAGAGGATTGTTGAAATTTGTAATGAAAAGTAGCGTAACGTAAATTATGTTTCGAAAGTTTTCTTCGCATCGCATATTGCCGTTACTTCGAATTCGCATCATTAGAAAAGCACCATTAAATTGTATTCAGTATAATTTAACAAGTTTATTCTACGAACGATTCTGTAAAAATTGTAGAAATGTTTGCCTGAATTGTAATTACAATTCATGCATTAATATGTACTCTGTGAAAATCGTCAGTAGATTGACTAGAGATTTTTCCAATTATTAAATCTTATACAAATGGTGACAATTCGATGTTAACTTTTATACTACGAACTGAAATCAGGAGACCGAATCATTGAAGACCTGAAAGCGTCAAATATTCGTTTCGTTCTAGTTTGCAGCCACCGTTATCGAAACAGGTGTTTTAAATCATCGGTACAGCCCTAAAACTGTGAGTCTAACTTTGTTATTGATCAGTCACTGACATCCCACCCATACATAGATGAACAGAAGAACGATGGTTGAGAAAATTACGTTACTTTTCATTACAAATTTCAACAATCCTCTATGGTTGAGTAATACTGAGGATCAGAACGTATTTATGCACTGTGCATTATTTATCTCTAGATAGCGATATTGATTTGTCCAGTCGACGACAGTTAAAATTGACCTTCCAAGGCTTGTGTTGTGTATTTCTTTGCGTGGTTTGTTGATGCCATTTCGTTAGGAGTGATGTAATAGCACAGACAATTAAGGGAGTTAGTTTACTAATTTGTTATTAGTTTGCAGTGTATTTTCTCGGAGCATATGAACAGATACGGAAGAGAAAACATTTACTCTCGAATTTATTTACGCTGCTAAGTATTTCGGTGTTTTATTGAGCAATCAACCGTCAGCACTGGGAAAATATCACTTTAATGAACATACGGGGTTTCTTGGAATGCAAAGTATTCCCCACTGAAATTCAATACCGCGTCAAAATGGTTTACAAAAATCTGGGGCATTCTAACTCCCAGTGTTCAGTTGAGTTTTGTCCGAATGATCAAAAACTGCTTTAGGTAGTTGGAGTACAAGTGTCTTTACATGTACAGGTTTGTTGGCACTTTTACTA